TTTCCATCATTATTTTGTTGACTCGGAGGGTCGTTAAAATTCGAAGATTGATACGGAACATCCTCCTCGTGTTCTCGCGATTTAGACCTCGTACGACTCGTAACAGGACGACGACTAGAACTATCAGACTCCAAACATGTTTGAGATTTGGCAACATCAGCGTGCCTTTGTCTAACAGCAGGTTTGGCGACATCGTCGTGTCGGCATCTATCATCAGGTTTGGCAACATCGTCGTGCCTGACAACCTCGCCGGTGATCTCATCATGCTGGCGGAACCGCTTGGTCCCATCTTTTTTAATCTGCGTAGCTTCTAAATCTGCCAATTTTCTTCGTAAAACTCTTATCTTCTCATCAACATTATCCACCACTTCCTCTTTCGGTTCTTCACCACTTTCGGCATTTTAATAGTATTAACCTACCACGCACAACAAATCACTATTTGCATAAATTCGTCTCAAACTCGTGCGAGCAATACTCATCGTCGCTGAACGTCCAGGAGTTGAGAGCTCGGGATCGACTCAAACAGATTCACTCACTTCCTCGATTCCTTGATCTGTTCGTACTGTCCGCGGGCGACCTTGACGTCTTGTTGGCAATGTGGAACCGGTTTCTTGAAACCTCCTCAACCATTGCTCCATTAGTGCTAGGGCACTGATTAATACGCCGGAATCCATATTTGACTCGAAATAAGCGTCGCACAGTGACATAAGAACTATTATTCTCAAAGAACGCTTGCACCACGAGGGCGCCCTGTTGACCCGTCAACTGACTGATGGTTACTGAAAATTCATGAATCATGCAATCGAACGGTACCGCCCTTAAACATTTCCGCCCGCGTTTCGCTGTTTTATTTGAAAAACAAAAGTGAATTTTGTGAAATATTGAAATCTTCGAAAATTACTGATCGCACTTACCAGACACTCCTCAGGGATATTCTTATTGATGTGCTGTAATTCCCTCTTCGTCCTTACATAAAAGACAAACGGGTACCGGTTCGCTGGTGGTCGCCGGATCCGGGCCGACCTCCGAAGGCCAGTTCTGTCATCTAAAAGAGGATGAAAAAAATCACTCGGAAAAAGCTAGAAATAGGAGGCGCTAGTTTGATTGACAGATTGACCTCCAACCACATTAGCGCCGCCTAGCGGGAGCAAAATTACAGATGCCATTAAACAAGCTTGTGGAGGAATTTTATTAACCTGAATGTGGTTTTTAATTTAATTTACTGATAGCAGCTAAAATGAAATATATGTATATTAAACTGCTAGATTCCTTGAAAATTGCAAACCACGTTCTATTGAAGAGTAAGTAAATTATGTAGAAAAAGTATAATTGTAACAAACCTTTTGCTTCTCGTAGGAAACCGCTGTAATACTAAGTAATTTTTTTTAAAAATACAAAAATATCGACTGCAGTAACTGAAAATGTTGAATTTTTAATTGTGCTGTATTTTAAGCTATAGCTCTTGAAAAAGAAATATCAAACTGAAAATGTTCAACTGAAGTCCGCCATTTTGATTTTATAAAATTTTAATACAGCCGGTGTCACTCGCACTGCCAAGATGAATCTAACAACACCTCATATGTCAAAATTAGTCAAGTCGTTTAAGCTGTAGCTCGTAAAATTTTTGGGATACATGGATACATACCCACCCGGGAAAAACATTACAATCCATCTGAGACAGTCTTGTAATAAAGACAGACCAAGTACTTATTTAAAACGGGTACTCCGGAGACCTCGCCTGTTTATTCGTGAATTCTTGGGAGTATGTAACAGGCGCAGTCCCGGTAACCGGCTTTCAACTGGTCATTTTCATTTTTAATGCCCGTACCTACTGTGACGTTCGAATTTTTCCGTTATTGGTGTAGTAGACGTTAAGTGGATCAATGATGATTAGTAAAAAGGTGAAATACAAGACTCAAGCATGAGATGCTTATAGAATGCGTTGATGGCCCATAACCACTGTTATATTTTCCTTCCCTAATGGCATAACAAGAACTTTGTAATGTCCTTTATGCAAAGATATTTGGGCGCAATGAAGTGCGCTGGCTTCACTCTCACAATCAGAGTTAGGATCGCCACTGACCCATGATAACTGGTCACTAATAAAGTCTTCATCCTGAGTCTGAGGGGTAAAGGCGACGTCCTCGCGCCTATATGGGCTAACAAAGCGGACTGCCGCCTTAAAATGTGAGCCAATGATGCAAGCGAGGCTTCCTCCTCGGTATCTACATTTGAATATTTTCCATCATTATTTTGTTGACTCGGAGGGTCGTTAAAATTCGAAGATTGATACGGAACATCCTCCTCGTGTTCTCGCGATTTAGACCTCGTACGACTCGTAACAGGACGACGACTAGAACTATCAGACTCCAAACATGTTTGAGATTTGGCAACATCAGCGTGCCTTTGTCTAACAGCAGGTTTGGCGACATCGTCGTGTCGGCATCTATCATCAGGTTTGGCAACATCGTCGTGCCTGACAACCTCGCCGGTGATCTCATCATGCTGGCGGAACCGCTTGGTCCCATCTTTTTTAATCTGCGTAGCTTCTAAATCTGCCAATTTTCTTCGTAAAACTCTTATCTTCTCATCAACATTATCCACCACTTCCTCTTTCGGTTCTTCACCACTTTCGGCATTTTAATAGTATTAACCTACCACGCACAACAAATCACTATTTGCATACACCGATCGCGCGATACAATTGGTTCGACACGCAATGAAAGAATGACCTAGTTCGCCGGGGTCGGGGATCAGCGGAGTGCAGGGAATCGAAAAATCAATATCTTCAAAATGCGTGTGGTTGGATAGAAAGTGGAAGTTACTACAGTATTCTTAATTACGAGACGAGGCGGAATATAACACAGGTAATACCATACGTACGAGGCACGTCCAGAAAGTAAGTGTACTCAATTTATATAGGGTTCAAACAAAATTTATTAAAACCATAATATACTTGGTTACACTTGTACATATGTAAGTTATTTTTCGACATAGTCACCATCCCTCTCGATGCAAGTGGTGAGCCGCGGGATCAATTTTTTGATGCCGGCCTCGAAGAAGTCTCCCGCCAGCTCTTTCGCCCACTTCTCCACCTCCCCCTTCACCTCCTCGTCCGTTGAAAACTTGTTTCCACCCATGTGCCCCTTTAGGGAAGTGAAGAGATGGACATCTGAAGGAGCCAGGTCAGGGGAATACGGGGGGTGATTCAGAACGTCCCATCCAAAAGAGTCCAGGAGTTGCTTCGTGGCGTTGGCCGTGTGGGGTCTGGCATTGTCGTGCAACAGGCAGACTCCCTTCGTCAGCATGCCCCTCCTTTTATTCTGAATCGCCCTTTTCAATTTTTTTAGCGTCTCACAGTATCTTGCCGCGTTGATGGTCTCCCCGTGAGGCAGATATTCAATCAAAATTATGCCTTTATGGTCCCAAAACACGGATGCCATAATTTTTTTGGCTGAAATTGTGGTTTTGAATTTCTTGGCGGAGGGTGACAAGGTGTGACGCCATTGCTGAGACTGCCTCTTTGTTTCAGGCGTGTAGTGGGCAACCCAAGTTTCGTCTCCAGTAACAATAGAGTAGAGAAAATCATCGCCTTCGAGTTCGTAGCGTTCCAAAAACTCTTCGGAACTCTGCATTCGTTTCAACTTGTGCTGTTCTGTCAGCTGTTTTGGGACCCACCTCGCAGACAATTTCCGATATCCGAGAGTTTCTGTGATTGTTTCGTGTAACAGGGATCTGGAGATTTGCGGAAACATCGCAGAAAGTTCATCTAACGTCAATCTGCGATCGTCACGGACCGCAATCTCGATTTTTCCCACAAGTTCCTCAGTCAAAATTGAAGGTCTTCCGCTCCTCTGATCGTCATGCACGGAAGAACAGCCATTTTTAAACTCGCGACACCACTTGTACACACTCGTACGATTCATAGCTCCATTGCCGTAAACAGTTTTCACCTCATTATAAATTTCAACCGGAGCTTTTCCCTTCACAACGAGGTAGCGAATGACGGCGCTAATTTCGCACTTGGCGGGAGATACGATCGACATTTTTCGCGAGAGATGTTACTGCGTCAAGAGTTTTCAACACACTAACCTCAGATTGGTCTCTTTTTGAAGGGGAGGGGTCAGGCTACGCGGCAGTGTTGCCAACATGTCGAAAAAGTTACTTTCTGGACGTGCCTCGTACGTCTAGCAGCCCGCCAGACCGACAAGCCTTCGACAAACCTTCGGTCACTTTGGTGATGTATTGGTTGCCTATAACATCGATGCTGGCTGATAGCGATAACCGCGTAATTCAAATCGTTACTGATATACTGTATGCTGTGCATTATTTTAAATCTTATTATATTCCTGCAATCACTTAGCTTTTATTTGATATTTTTATGCGAGTTGATTCACTTTAACAAGTTTAATATCTTCATAAAAATATGTTTTTGAATAAGTCTTTTGGTACTGTTTCAAACATGCGAGTAACGATATGTTTATGAAAGTAACGATTCGGTACTTCGAATCTTTCCTACTATTCGTTACTCAGTAACGAATACATACGGTTCGTAACAGCTCTACAGTGTAGACAAAGAGCATTTTGCTTGTCACTCGAATAGATTTTTGAGTATAATAAATTATCCTAAAAATTAAACAAACGCATTTTCTCAAGAGTGAGCCTGCAGTGCTTGGTTTGGAATTTCTGATGGAAATGAATACACATCCGTACTTGAAGGCACTACCACATCTACAGTGATGAACTTTTTCACCGCCACTATGAGATTTTTTGAATTTTCACTTTCACAATTAGCTGACATAGAGTGGCTGTTAGAAAAGTTGTTTATCAGTAATGCTTTGAAGTGATTTTTGAAATGACTACAAGTCGGATTGGTGCCTCGTAGACCCTGCTATTTCATCTGGCCAAAGAAGTTTTCAAGGGCGTCGATAATATGATAACTGCTTTATTTTTTTTTTGGGCAGTAGGATACCAGACTACAGTCTTTCTGAAATCCAAAGGTTGACGAATTTATTTGTCTGCTTTTGTTTGCTAAAAATTCTTTGGGTATTTCCCTCTTATTTTGACGCATAGTACCAACATACGTGAGGTTTACACTTTTTAGCTTTTTTGCTAAGGAAAGACTAGAAAACCAGTTATCACCAGTAATGTTTCTGTTCGTTCCTCTTACTGGTTCCACTGAACGAAGGACGATGTCTTCAGCCGCATTGCTGATGCTATATGGTCCATCTGGCCATTTGCCAACATATGGTTCTAAGTTTAGCGTGTAAGCTGTTTTTGAGTCGGCAAGAACAAAAACCTTCAAACCATATTTGGCAGGTTTACTTGGAATATATTGTCGAAATAAGCATCTGCCTCGAAATGACAGTAATTGCTCGTCGACAGTAAGATACTCACTTGGAGAAAAGTACTTCTGGAAGTTTTTATTGAACAGTTCCATTATTTTTCGTACTGGTGCTAGTTTATCGAGGGCCTTTCTTTGTTCCCTATCACGAATGTCATCAAATCTTAGACATCTCAGAAGAAATCTAAACCGGTTTTCCGACATAGGTAAATAACATGATTCGAGACCATTGCCTTTTGAATTGTCCCATAATTTATTGACATTTTTTTTAGAACAGCGTAAAGATCCAATAAGGTATAACAAACCGATCAAAGCTCGAACTTCTAAAGCATCAGTCCCTCTAGCATCTCTTTCCCTACCAAATTTAGCCCGAGCTTTCTGGATATAAATATTTGTTGACTCTACAATGGTCCCAATAATATCCTGGTCCAAAAATAAATTGTAAATATCAATTTCCGATTTCAACTCGCGAGCTTCATTTCTTGGACCTGGCAGGTGCGTTATAATATTACAAGCTCGTGTTCTAACATTGAGAGGAAAACTACCGTTTTTCCACCTTGTCATTCCATCCTTCGCAAGGTACGTATCATCATCCAGCATTCCCTCATCTTCGTCGTTTAGACTTTGCTCGTCAGCTCCCTGTTCACTATCTGTGTCATGTTCGCTTTCATATACAAAATCATCATCCGATTCGCTTTCGTTTCCTTCTGGTTCACTTTCATCTTCCTTCATTTCATTATACCATTCCATCCACTTCTTGGGATCGGTGCTACTTTCGCTTCTTGGTCTTTTTGTTTGTGACATTTTCGAAAATCTGAAAAATAAACAGTTTTCTTACAATAATTGTTTTATAATACGTCGAGAGTAAAATATTATTTTTAACCCTATATTTAGTCATTGTAAATAATATACATATATAATGTATCAAATTCTAAAAAAAATAGACAATGCAAAGTGCCATAATAGTAAAAACAAAGAATACTTACTAAAATCCAATGTATTAGCACTATTAGTCCCTCATATGTGACAGGGTCCATTGTGGCTAACACTAGCTCATCTTCATAGTTTTTCGGTGGTCCTCCTCCTGTTTTCAGGACGTCTTGTCTTGCATCAGCCTTTTTTTCCTGGCTAACATTCGTTTATTTTCATATAACCTTTTCAGTTGTTCCACTGATCTGTGATTGAAATCAGCACTTGTGGCATTGAATTCGGCGGCAACTTTGCCCCAAGCTTCATGCTTTGCAGTGTTTGTTGCTGAATTTGTCCGTTTGTTCTCTAGTATATCCTTGTATTTCAATGCGATTGAAAATAATAAATTTTGTTCTCGTGGACTAAAGTTAACTGCCCTGCTTCGTTTGTTCTCACTCATTATTATAAGCAGGCAAAATATTATAGAAATATTAGAAATGAATTTACATATTTCGCAGTTAATTAGCAATATTAGGTTAGGTCACCACAAATTGACACGGAACGTATTTTATTTAATACTTTCTTGACACTTTGACGTTAAAGTGACACTATCGACAGCGTTGCCAAATTGAATCCGTAGTTAAATGACCATTAGCTAAGTGAAGCACAAATATGGTCGGTGCAAGTCGTTTTAAAGTTAAGGGATCAATAACTTATGGGGTTTCTTACCTAATGGTCTCATAAGAAAAAGTCCGTGCAAACGGCCGTTAGTCGCGTGGATGACCAGAGTCATCCACTATCAAATACGTCTGAAAACGCAAACAACTGTAACGAGGCGACAACAACTAATAACAGATACACGTACCTAAACCATTTGTAGGAAGGTACATAGAATCTCGCGCGATAAATCCTAACCAATGAAATGCAGTATTAGACAAATGAGGCGTGGATGATCAGTGTCATCCGCGCGACTAATGAAGGGTTAAAATAGAGGCAACTCACACTATACACTCCGAAATAAAAATAAAGTAGCAATAACAATGTTCGAACGTCGTCCGGTGGAGCGACGATATCCGTCCTCTTTCTTCGGATGCTCATGCCCGTCTCCCCTCGCAACTCGTCCTCAGGGTCTTACTACCAGCCTTCCGTCGCACTTTTCACTCGACACGCACTCATACACGGTCGCGCTGTTGCCGAACCTCTTCAACTTCCTTGTCGTCAGGCGACGAGACGTAAAGGCGCTTAAAGTACGGTTTCGTTGGTGCGGCTCGAGCGGCTGCGGCTCGCGACTACGATTGGCTGCAGTCGCAGCCGCAATGTAGAGTGTTTTATTTTAGTGCGTCTCTAAATGAAAGCGATTGCGATTTAGATTGGTTTAAAAGATCTTGCTGTATGATGTGGAAGGTCTAAGTCGTAGAAAATGAATAATAGTGATCTGTTAAGTGTGATTCTCTTAGAAGAAGAGGAAGAAGATGAATGGCTACAACTGAAGTTATTAGAAAAACAAAGATGTGAAAAACACGATATATTCCAAAAACGTACAGAAGAAGGATTTTTTAGTCTACTCATAAACGGACATTTAAAAGAGGACGAACAAAAATTTAGAGAATTTTTCCGGTTAAATCCCGAGCAATTTGATTTTATTCTGTCACTCATACAAGAGGATATAGAAAAGCCTGGAACGAATTGTGTAAAGTTTCCAATAACAGCAGAGGAAAAGCTGGCGCTAACTTTAACCCTTTCACGTCGACTTTTTTTTCTTTATAAATTTAACGTTCTTTAATATTTGCTGTACTTATTGACTTATTTAAAACTGGTCTGTACTGTATTCAGATTTTTAGATTTTGTTTTTTTTTTGTAAAATGGCGATGGGACATATATGTCCCTCTAGGATTATTATTGGACATATTTGTCCCACTAGGTACAAGGAAAATAAATATATTTTTTATAAATAATAAAGAAATTTTATTCGCAAACACAAAAAAATCCTGTTTTGTTATTTTTATCTATGGAATGATGAGAAACAGTTCATACATAATGCCACGTTGCACTGGGAACACATTATCTTCGTTCTTTTCTCTTTCTTCTTTTTATGACAGTTATGACATCTACGACGTGTCGTTCCTTCAACAGGTAGATGCTCTCCAACATTTTGTAGAGACATTGACGTTTGAGATGGTCTTCCATAGCAGCGGCGTCGTTTGATAGAAGCGTTTTGTCGTCCAAAGCTAATAAGTTGCTCAGCTAAGGGCACAATAAACTGTAGAAGTGGAAGTCTTTTATGATGGACATCTTGATATAATACCCAGGCGTTGACAACACTAGTTAACAGTAGTTTATAAAAAACTTTCTTCCACCACTTATTTGATTTCCTGTCAATGTCATATAGGCTTGCAAGTTGATCTGCCAGATCGACACCTCCCATATGTTTGTTGTAGAATAACACAACATCTGGGCATGGAATGCTAGCTTTAGAACCATCCTTTTTTTTTCTATCTACTTGGCTCACTTTAGATGTATGGCAATTACTGAGCAAAATCACTTCTTTGGTATCTTTCCATTTAGTTGCAAGTAAACCAGTATCACTACAATACACTTCCATTGCACCTCGTTCTTTTAATTTTTTTCCAAAATCTGGTAAACTTTTTCTATTACTGTTACATGTACCAAATGCAGGAAACTGTATATTTGTCATTAGATTCACCGAAGTGAAAAATCTATCAAAGCATAAAGCAACATTGGCGTTTTGAATTGTATCACATAACTTTGCCACTACTCTCTCTCCTAGAGTTCCTTCCACTTGCTCAGTTTCTTTCCCAGCATAAATATTAAGATCATAAACATAACCTGTCAAAGCATCACACCTTTGCCATATCTTTATGCCCCTTTTGATCGGCTTCAGGGGCATATATTGCTTCAGAGCCGAACGGCCCTTGAATTTAGCCAAGCTTTCATCTATTGATTGATAGCTACTATCGGAACGACTCGCAATGAAAGTCTTTTTCAGACAAGACACAACTTCGTCGATATAGTATGTCTTATTAGCATCTGGCGGCTTGGAAGGGTTATTGAAATATAGTTTTGAAAGAAGTACCAAAAACCGGTCCCTTGAGATTGCTGACTTTAGGGCTTCATTTCCCATTGATTTATTTGTTGACCAATATAACTGCATATTAGGAACTCTGTTATAGCTCATCACAAGCAAACTACCTATAACTATCATCATTTCAGATGGATCGGTATGATCGATTTTGGCGTGCTTTGTTTTATTCAAAATATTCAATCGTTCATTGGTAGACTGGGATATAAACATAAACAGACTCCTTGGAAACAATTTTAGAAACACTTCTAGTTGACTGGAAGACCGATTTACTGCTGCCAAAACAGTAGCTGGGGAATTATTGCTAGGAGGAAGTGCTTTTCGAGGAATATAATTATCGTCTGGAACTCTCCAAGAAAGTTGATTAGGAGTTCTTGGATTTGGAACGTTGTGATTTTGTGTATTATCGGGTATACCATCGTTATTGGTTACGTTACTTTCCTCTCCATTTTCATCGATGTCCGAAAAATAGTTTGTCTCCACCTCAGATTCGGATGATTCCCTTTCCGACGGATTATACTCTGACCCGCTATCCTGGAATAGCTCCTCATCTTCAGACTCATCCCACACGTGATCAGCTTCCCACTGTAACTCTTCTTTCGTCAAAGGTCTCCTTCTGAAACGAACAGAAGTTATTATTCGAGAGGGACGAATATGTCCCATGCAAGCATGCTGGAGGGATAAATATATCCCATAGTCAAAAACTAACGACTAAAATACTTTAGATACAAATTACAACGAGTTCAAATTATTACAATAACTAAAGTTACTTACCTGCTCATATTGTAGACATAGAAACAACTATTATAACATAGAAACCGCAAAAAATAGGGTCTGAATGTAGAACCACGTGCACTTGTCGGCTGCTAACGATCGACTGAGAGCCGCGGCATGAAGATTATTGGCGGGAAAATGTTCGCAGTAACGATGAATTCGAGTGGGACATATTTAAACGTATTTTAAATAGTAAATTTTCCCTCTAGAATTTTTGGACTTTCATATGGGACATATATGACCCATTAGACGCGAAAGGGTTAAGGTAGGAAAGAAAAAAATTGAGCAAAAACAAAGATACAGTTAGAACACAAAATATATTATGAGCTTAGAATACAACATATCTAACCAAAACTAACTAATGTAACTAATTTAATTGCTGGTATCGTAGTTCGTATTCCGAGTTTTGCTCCGAGGCCATGAATCCAGAAACATTTGAAATTGATGAATTCTGTTGTTCTGGGTTATAGCTTTTAAAATATGAACCAGCAGTATTATCCGACTCAGTCGCAGCCAGATGAAAAGATCCATTCTGTAGTTTATATTGACTAGTACTAGCAGTAGTATGTGACGTAGTCTCAGTCAGATTGAAAGGTCCATTTAGTTGATATTGATTTGTACCCAAAGAATGTGAATTTGATCTATCGGCAGGTGAGGTTGGTTGTGAACTATGTGCTGGAGTTTGTTGAGATGAATTTTGTGTTGCTAATTTGAGCTGAAGATCGCTTACGAGTTTTAGGATACCAAGTTTTGCTTCATTCAGTTCAGCAGGTGGAAATTTTTTAACGGTGAAGCTAATGCTTTTCATGAACAAATCTACGTCATCTTCTGAATTTGAAATGTTTTTTTTGTGGATAGATTCAAGGAGCTCCATTCGCTTCTGAGCTCTCTCTTCAAATTGAGCCATGGTATTTAGTTTTGACACTCGGGGCTGCGATCTTTTCCCACAGTTTTGTTGAAAAGGATTCTTATTCAGCCCTTTATTCAATTTCATTGCGTCTGAAGTTCGACGAGATGTGGATGGGGTTGAATATTCGTCTAGTAAATCAGAATCGTCTAATGTTGATTCATCGGTTGGTTGGGTTTCGTAGTCCGTCTCGCTGTAAGCTGGAGTTTCCTCTTCTTCCGTCAAGGTATTTTTTGATTCTCGTTCATGCTTAATAACATCAAGAAAGGAAAGCCGATCGTAAAGGGTCCACTTTATTACTCGTTCAGATGCTGCTGAACCGGTCCCCAATTTACGTTTTTTTCTGTTTCTAAAATAGGTATCCTTGATGTTTCTCCATCGCCTTTTGCAATCGTCACCTACGAAAAAAAAAAACAAAACATACCTTTCAACTTACACCCTTTGAATTAGATTTAAGTCCAATTAAAGAATTTTTATTATATTGTTTTTCAAAAGATGTGCATCTCTGGAGATTGGTTATCTAAAAGAATTCAAAAATGCATTATTAGTTTTAAGGAGGGTACAATACGTTCTTCAATATTATTTTTGGGCAGGCAATCTCCAGACAGGCGTTATGATATTTTTTGGAAACATGACGTGTGTCCTAAGTCTCTATGTTGTTTTAGGTATATGGCAACTGGGGAGTCTTTCAGATCTCTTAGATTTGCTTTTAGAATCTCCCACAGTTACATAAGTGTAATCATCCGAGAAACTTTATCAGCAATATGTAAACAATTGGTGCCCATTTTTATTCCAACGCCAACAAAGGAAGCATTGACCAAAAAAGCTGAAGAATTTTGGGAACGATGGGATTTTCCGAACTGTATTGGAGCCTTGGATGGCAAGCATGTTAGAATATTTGCTCCAGCAAAATCTGGATCTTTATACTTTAATTATAAAGAATACTTTTCCATTGTTATGCTTGCTTTAGTTGATGCAAATTGTAAGTTTATTGCTTTAGATGTAGGGTCGTACGGAAAAGAAGGTGACAGCTCAATATTTAATAAATCGGCTCTTGGAAAAAAAGTAATGCACTTTCAGAATTTTTTTCCGGCAGATCAAAAATTGCCTAAATCAAATAAAGTATTGCCGCATGTAATTATCGGAGATGAGGCGTTTCGTTTGGATAAACACTTAATGAAACCGTTCACTAAATTGGCAGCCACTGCTGATAAATCAAAAGCCATTTTTAATTACCGTTTGAGTAGGGCAAGAAGAGTGAGTGAAAATGCTTTTGGTTTGCTATCTCAGGTGTTCAGAGTGTTTTATACTCCTATAGCTGTAAAACCAGAGGTATGTGATGACTTGATATTAGCCGCCTGTTGTTTACATAATTTATTGCGAGAAGCATATTTGGAAAGAAAAGGGGTTCCCTACTATGAATATGATTCAAAAGAAGAAAACTCGAATGTTTTTCGGAATCTTACAGGAGCGGGGGGATATCAAAACGTTGAAGGGTTCCATGTGAGAGATGAGTTTATGAGGTTTTTCTCACAGGAAGGGATTGTCGAATGGCAAAATCAGCAGGTTTCGAAAGTATAAGACAATCTGTACATGTCAGCAATCCATTATTATGATATTACAACCTTATACTGATTTCAATGTATATTGTTATTATAAACAGGGATCACAAGAAAAACCTAATAAAAAATGTTTACATGAAAATTTGTTTTTTTATAAAAATTCCTAGAATAAAATGAGTTTCAAAATAGAACAAATAAATACGCGGTACATGGTGTTCCCAACTAGAGTGTATTCAATTTCAATCAAAGTAGGACGTAAACAAGCGATATCGGATGATTGCAGCATGCCGTGACGGCATGGCCATGTATTATTGGTTGGCAAGCAATAAATGCCCTCTATCAGGCCAAAATCCAAGCAACCATTTGTCTTTCCTCTCCCATATTCAATACGAGTGATAAAGGTAACTCAACCCCTTGGACAGCGCCAGTCTTTAATCGATCACCAGTCGCCGGTATTGCAGTTCCCGTGACTCGAACGTACATTATTTTGTTTACATCGAACTTTTATTGAATTTGAATAGACTATATATAAATTATTTGATGGCTATGAAACTGAGCCAAAAAAGGAAAAACAAACGTTCATAATTAGAAAATAAAGTAAATTAATGTTACTTACTGCTTTTTCCTACCGAACATGCTATTTTTTTCCAGGCATTCTCTTTGCATATAAAATTTTTGTAGTTTTCATGCTCGTAATAAAAAATAGCGGGAAATTTTTGAACCTCTTCAATCAATATATCATCCTCATTTGCATTGAATTTCTCCATTTTTACTGAACGACTGCGATTTGACTGGTCCAGGAGCAGTCGAGTCGCATAAATTGTATAAAACCAGTGCCGCGACTGTAGTCGCAGTCGTTGCTGCGACTCAATCGCAGTCGCGAGCCGCACCAACGAAACCGTACCTCTACGCGGTTGGCTTCTGGATTGTTCTAGAAGGCTTCTTCCTTCAGTGGCATAGGCGTCGACAATCAAGGATCAAGGGTTACGCATTGACGCGAAATAAAAAAAAATCATAAAATAACCTTATCCTACATTATTATTACTAAACCTGAGGGTCGGCTTACGAAGATTGTCAAAATACTCAACGAATTGTTGAAGCTAATGAAATCGCCAAATCAAACTGTGCTGCAAATTCCACTAAGGTAACGAAGCTTTGCACAGCGGTTTTAATTAGCCAATCACAATACAAATATTTCGTCAATAATTTGATTACCCAATCAGGAACTTTATAAAATTGTGAGTAATGGTGAGGTTTATATACACAACATAGGATCTTTATATAAACAAATGTTTGTTCAGTGATCTCATGAGGATTTCAAGAAATAATGTTGAAGTTTAATCCTTATTACAATAGAGCACATCAAAATGGGCTTATGTGATGGTCAATCCATTTAGTATGTCATAATCTTCGTGAAACTAGGCCTAAAAGTTACAGTCCAGAATTATTCATTATACACTGGCTATGAAAGGTTTCAACAGTAAAATAAGATCAAGATAATGTATACGGATCTTTGAATATGTGTTTACACATCAAATGCTACGAATTATTCTACTCATCTGATTTTCTAATCATTAAAATTTTATAAATCATAGAATGTAGTATAGATACCTTGGTAAAACATCTTCCTTAATGTTTGACGAGCTTCAACCCAGAATTCAAAGTGATCTGTGCATCGAGATACAACAGACCTCGGGGGTTTCCCACTGGATGGATATAGGCTGTACCCATTGACGCTATCCATGAGATCACCAAAAAACTGGAGAACTGTTGATGTTACTTGTGCAGTTTCTGATAATTTTTCACCTTGTATGCCCACTATTCCGAAAAAGGTAAACATAGCCTTGAATCTATATGAATGAACATGAAAAAATGAAAATGTACCTGAACGTGCCATTAGAGCCATCACAGATGCCACAGTGTGACTGAATACTTGGGTAGCACATGAAACCTTCATCTTTTTTATAGTATTTCTATTGACATGGCATTCTGTCAATTTTGGCATCGACCTTCAGCTTGTCTATAGCATATGCCGTTTCTATGTTCTGCCATCTAGCCACATGCTTGTCCTCAGCCACTGACGTAGCTATAGCTCTGATAAGGGGGGGGTCCCCAAAGTGAAAAAAAACAGAGCTCTAACGCCAATTGGATCTATTACTTACAGATTAAACATTTCGATTATAACACGCAAGTATAGTCGCGGGTAATCTATAATATATAACTCAGGTTACTTAGGTAGGTGCCTTTAAATAAAAAGTTTAATGTATGTATTGCAATATTTATTCAAAAGTAACAAAGATGAAACTTTAAAATAATAAATTTAGTCTTTTACGTTTTATTGCTAACTGATTGATAATTTCTTCGGAATCTAGTTGCACCGCCAGATCTCGGTGTACGCTCATTAAAGCCAGACCAGTAAGTCTTTCATCGCCCATTTTATTTCTTAGGTAAGTTTTTAACCTCTTTAAGGTAGAGAAAGATCTTTCAGGGGTTGCAGTGGACACTGGGAGTGTGGCTAAGATAATTAGAAGCTTTTTTATTGAAGGGAAGAACTGATCATCGCAGTTATCGATAGCGTCAAGCACAGTTGCAGGTTTTTGTGCTACAGATTTCCAGTGATTGTGCCATATCTCATATTCACTCAGAAATATTGTGCCTTCATTTTCTCCACCAAGAAATGTTTGTGCAATTTTTTCAAGATTTTCTTTTATCCTGGAGTCATTACTAGTTTTTTCAGGTAACAGCATTTGAATTCCTTCGATCGTCGATTCATGTGGTTTAAAACGAGCGTCGAGTTCTGCAATAACATGATCAATGAAAGGGTAAAACACATTTCGTCGGTAGTATATTTCGGCAGTTTCTGCTGCAATATTATTGCGCAGGGTTTGCCTTCCAGTTATTCTTGGCACGACTATATCGCCTGAACTCATCTGCTGCGCTTGCTCAAAAAGGATTGCAAACTGACTTTCGTTCCGAACATTTAGTAAAGTCGTTTTTACCGTTTTTGTATATTCGCAAATGTTGGTCAAATCGACATTGACTTTCTGCATTGCTTTGTTAAGGTTTGCTGTATATGAAAAAACTTTTCTCAGTATAACTAAAGAAACAATAAACTGGCTGTTATCCATAGCGGTTTGAAGATGGTATGCTTGAGTAGCGACGTCGCTGCTTGCAGCATCTTGAAGTGCCCCAAGTGTTTCGCGTATAACGGGAACCATTTCTGCAAATCTTTCGACCGCCACGTGTTTCTCGGTCCATCTTGTCTCACAAAGAGAGATAAGCGTTGAATGAGATGAGTTAATTTGATCCGCAATTTTCTTCAAAAGTCCGTCGCGAAGCGGTGATTGGCGAAAAAAGTTTATTACGCTCTTAATGGTTCCGATACAGTTACGTATCATTGGTATCTCACATGAATGCGCTAAAACTAAGTTAAGAACATGAGCAACACAGTGTACGAATTGCGCCTTCGGGTATTGCTCTGAGATTATTGTTCTTACGCCCCGTAACCGGCCGCTCATCACTGCAGCGCCATCATAGCCTTGACCAATCCATTTATCCATATCCAAGTTATATGTAGGGGTGTGCTTAACAGTGAAATTTTAATATCGGTGATCACTGCGACTGCTTTCAAAAAGTAGCTGCTACTGCAAGCTGTGAAATTATCACTCTTTATATAACAGTAACTATCACCTAAAATTCCGCGTAACGTAATAATTAATGAAGTCCTCTGCGAATATGAATAATAAAATATTTGCGTTTAGCGTTACTTACTAGTCTTTACTACTCAGCCTTCAGCTTTCTGCGATTTGACCGTTCCGAGAATGAGTGAATGAGTAAAAAAATACCTTTAAATAGTATTTATAATTAGGACATGGCTATATGAAGTACATATATTTAATTTGGAAAAAAATATATATGTAATTTAAACAATTTACAAAATGAAAAGGTATGAACATCGTAACAAAAAATCAAAGTAACAAATAGTAAAACGTATTTTAAAATATAAAAAAAATTATGCGTAATAAAAATACAACAAAAACTGCTGAAATTATTCTATGTATTCGCATTTAAAAAAAGTAACTTGTTAACTTTTGTAGCAGAAAGTCGTGTTCTTCTGTCACTAATTATCAGGCTACTTCTGGAGAACAGTCGTTCACAAGGTACGCTAGTTGCGACCATACAAAGCTGTTTTCTTGCCAAATCCGCCAAATTCGGATAGAGTTGTTGATTATTTTTCCACCACAGCAGTGGATCATCCTTTCTGGAAATGATGGTATCGTTACAGTACCTATCGACCTCCAAAATAGCCTGAGACGTAGCTGTCCCCTTAGGAATAAGATCGGCCATTTTATTGTCAAACTCTGCCCAGTATGACAGTACATTTTTTTCAGTACTATTGTCGGTTTCTTTTTTTGCTTCCAACCGTGGTTGTTGTCGGCCAGTGCTTGCTTCTGCAGTTTTTACATTAATAATAGCGGTCACTAAGTTAATTACTTGTTTTTTTATATCTTGGGCATGTTCTTGATTTTCAAATATATATAATTTGAAACGAGGGTCCAGAAACGTGCATACACCGATTGTTCTGCTTTTTTCCAAATCTGGAAAACGCTGTTCTAAACCAGCAACAAGCTGATCGGCAAAATTTGTTGAATTTTCGCAGTAGTTTAAATTAATAGCCTTTTTGGTAATGGAATTTAGACCTCTTGCAATTCCTATAATTACGCTGCCCGTTAAATAATTCTCACCACTAACTTCCAAAGTAGCTTCTTCGAAAGGCTTCAACAATATACAGATTTCCTCGCAGATTTTCCATTCCGTCTCCGACAACATATTTATTTTTGGTGCGTTTAAATTAGCGACGGTACTACGAATTGCTTCTTGGATTTTTACAAGCCGTTGAATCATGTGATATGTTGAGTTCCAACGCGTTTCGACATCTTGTATTACACATAACGGATTGTCATTCCCTAGTTGCCTTTGAGCCTTTAACAGTTTTTCTGTCGCTTGTGGGCTTCTTTTGAAATGATTCACTATGGTTTTTACTTTCTCAATTATTAACGTTTCGGATTTCAGAGCACTGCGTACAACAAGATTTAATTTATGCGCAAAACAACCGAAATGTTTCCACATCAATTCCTTGGTTACTGCGTTAGTAATGTTAGAAGCGTTGTCAGTAATGACTATGAGTATTTTATCTAGCAAACTCCATTCTTCGGCGGTGCGTTTCATTTCAGCGGCAATCTGTACAGCAGTATGTTCACCTTCAAATTTTATACATTTAATTAATTTGGAACGCAATTTGAAATCTTCGTCTATAAAATGTGCAGTTATGCCCATATAATTCTCATTTGCCGTAGACGTCCAGTGATCAGTTGTCAAGCATATCTTTTTTACTTGATTCATCTGTTCCCGTGTACTTTCATAACATTTATTGTACATTTCATGAAGTAGAGAGTCTGATAAATATTTTCGCCCTGGCAAACTGTAATCTGGAGCCAATGCTGCCACAAAGTTTTTGAACCCTTCATCCTCAACTATGGAGAATGGTTGATAATCTTTAATAAATAATCCCATAAGGAGTTCATCGTAGCGCTTTTTCATAACGGGAGTAACTTTTTTTCTTACAAAATTATGTACTTTCTCTTGGTAAAGTGTGTGAACTTTATTCGGAATCAAACAATTTGAAACACTAAAGCTTGTTGATGCCTCGTCCGCTGTAGTGACCAAAACTGTCCCATTTGACGAGGGCATAGCCTTTCCAATTGTTGAATTTTTAGTTTGGGCTAAGGCTGAATCGGTACTGGTTGCATCTGACGGTGAAACGACTACAGTGGGATGTTTTAACGATAAATGCTTTCTTAAATTAGTTACGGATGTTTTAAAACTTAAATTTTGATAACAGTATCGACATTTCGCCATTTTATTTTCATTTTCTTCAAAGTGTAACCAGAGTTCACTACTTTTTCTCCTTTTATTAGGAGTTGCCATTCTTCTCAGTGCTGTAAATTATATTTAAATAAATGCGGATGTACCTATACGCAGTGTAACATTTACTTACCGGTACGACACAAACCAAAACAAACACGAATAAATACTTTGAAATACCTAATTGCGATAACAAAAACTGTAAGTTAGGTTAGCACATTTTATATCAATCCACCCTGCAAAGCGCAGGAATTTATACAAAATGAAGCAGTCAAACAGTAAACTGTGAAACTTTCTTTACCTAATTAGCATTTAGCAGTCCTTGATAAGCCGTCCAGCTGATATATGGCGATCGCATTCACAAATCATAATTCATATTCAGAACAATTTCGCCTTTTATCTCGCATCGCACTCATCGAAGTATTGCAGTCGCACACGTACACGGTACGCAGACATGAGACAAGGTGTGCGACGTATGTGCGATACGCGCCTTCGCAGTTAAGTTAAACAGTGATATTTTCACTCTTTCGTGCAGAAGCGAGTAGCAGCTACCTAAATGATTTGTGAGTAATAGGTGAACAGTAGCAGTGAATGCGATCGCAGTCACTTCTCTAGTTATATGATAAAAGATGTGATATAATAGTCGTTGCCAAAGCTTGAGCTGAAACATCTTCTACGTGAATGAATTCTAAAAAATCTTCCCGTATAACCGATTTCCCAGATGAGCAGTGTACATATCGTAAACATAACGCTAATTGTTCTCGCCGTGAAATGTCTTGTGTTTCATCAGCAAGTATAGTAAAAAAACCAGCCTCTTTGACCCTATTAAGTACTTGCGTTTGAATAGCACTACCACATAGTTCAATCACCTCATTTTGAATTACTGATGACGTATACATGGCTCTACTGTGAATGTTTTGTGTTAGTAAATGATTCTTGAGTGCTTCATCGCCAGATCGCGCACGAAAACGAAGAAGTGCTCTAAAATTACCATCATTATGTTCAGGCTCATTTATCCCAATTTCTCCAGAATCATGACTTCCTCTTAGTGCTATTGCTTGCCTTCCGCAAAGAATAATTGTTTCAACAATGGCTTTTAATCTTTTTCTGTTCTCTTCGGCAATTTTATTGTTTTCTACATTTAAGCATTCTGTAACATCAAGCGTTTTTCCTTCCATGATCCTTGCAAAATTTGCTGCCTGCTCAACAGCAAATTTGTGATACTTCGTATCTGCATGGTGATCAAAGCTCTCTAAAGCTTTCTTCCAGTTAATAAATGGCTTACTAACAAAGGCTCCAAGTTCTTGATGACCACGACCACCTTGCGTTTTTCCAAGTAGAACACATACTTTGCAAAGTGCTCCATGCATGAGGTTTGAATATACAAGCCATGAGTACCTGTTAGTCCAATGGCGTTGAAAAGAAAGTTTCTTTTTACCGGTGTCAGTGACTGGAAATTTAAATGTGTCCGGAGGAATCCAAGGCTCTTTTAATGCTTTCAGCTTTTCCTCGTCATTGCTTGGAGGATGACATACGTATTTCCCAATATCATAACCCGTCCTGGCTGCGGCTGCGGACGGAGCCGAACACAAATCGATCCTGGCTGTAACAAAGAAATATTTGACAAAAACTAAAAAGTTATGTTGGGAATAAGAATTTTCAACTAAAAATTAAGTCTACGCGAACACAGTCGCGGGCGCCACTTACTTGTTAAATATAATTCTATTTCTCTTAAAAGGCGAAATGATTTTATGACACTTAGGTACATTCCGCATATACACTGAAATTACCATTTTTGTCAAATATTTTATGCTCACGGCAACACAATTGTTTACAAAAATTCTCTGGGAATAAAAATAAGAGCAGGATAAAAGTTTTTAGAGCGTCCATTAAATTCAAATAACTGGATTTCTTCCTAATTAAATAAATAAGAGACTTACCTTTCTTCACTTCATCGTCATCAGTATCTGTGGATGGCCCCGCTCTATTTATTCCTACTTCTTCAATTGACAAAAGTTCATTGGGCTTTGGACTCTCTTTCTTACAAAAAAAACCCAAAAGAGATACCTGATTTGTTCGTTTCATAGCGACACTTCTTTCTATATTGTATTTATAACAACTGCGCAACGCGTCAACGCGAAGAGATAAAATAGACTAGACAGTTCTGTGGACTAGACTACTAGACTAGCTTGGTTTGGTGCGCGCCGCCGAAGCGCGGGCGACGGTGGCGGGGGAAGTGCCCATCCCCCCTCACCCCGCACTACGCGGGCATACGCATCGCGTTTTCCGATACTCGCCCTACGGACACGCTCCACAGCAACTATCGTTTATTACAATCGGCGCGGTGCATGTAATTTTTTTCTGTTGGACAAGTAAGGTGGATATGAATGGGGGGGTCCGGACCCCCAAAACCCCCCCCTTATATACGTCCGTGTCAGCTGACTCCCATACTAAATTCTTTGTCAGCAAATTATTATTCCTTATGCCCTTAATTAAGTGAGGAGGATCATATATGTGGATAATTTTCATTCCATTGAGGAAGAATTATTTTCTTGTAGGATCTTCTGATGCTGATGGTATTGAATATCTCATTAACTCTTTCAGGTACAGGAATTGCCTTGAAAATAAAACCAGAAAGGTACAAGAAAAATTTTTATTAAACTTTTGAAAAATGATTACATGTTTGGAATGAGGGCACTTCATTTAACGTAAATTTTACTCAAAATCAAAAAAAAAAATTGTTTAGAAAAAAATACAGGGTGGTTTATTTTTTCCACCACCATACATAAAATAAAATACATAAATGGTAGCGCCGTGAATTGAAAAAAAAGAACCGGGAGAAACTTGTTTCGAATACCGCTTGAATGGAAATTATTTTCTGTGATAACTCTGGAAACAGCTTCTTGTTTTCCCTAAGCATAGAGGAACATTACAAACATTACATTGCCAATTGGTTCGGATGTCTTTTTTCTTCGTGCTACAAAAGGCACATCTCCGACGGCTGGTTCTCATCGGTTGATGTGAGCTTTCTGTTAATCTTACAGCTTCTGGTACTGAAGGTTTATGTTTTTTCAGCGTTGTGGAAAGCTCCATGGGTTGTGTTATTTTTTGCACAAGTGATTTGGCTACCAGATGTTGAGAAATTTGTCTTCGAAAATCTTTTAGAGTTAGTTTTGGAGAAATTCCGTCATTATGGAGTTGATATATAATAAAAGCATTCACTACAGCTGCATCCAAGAAGAAAAAAAATATTCGGTGCCACCATTTATGGCTTTTCCGGTCAATCCCATAGGATCCTCTCTTTTGATCAAACTTATCAACGAAGTTCATGTTTTTATTATAGTCGGTAAGTAAAGCAGGGCATGGTATTTGAACTACAGTGCCGTCCTTTTCCTTCCTTCTGACTTCTGTAATTATTGTAGGATTGTGATAATTAGATAGTAAGTGGACAGCTCTTTTATCGCGCCATTTTACTGCGGTCACTCCAATATCACTTGTGTGCCACTCATATTGCCCTCTTTTTAAAGATTTGTCAGGACTAAATTTGGGCAAATCTTTCCGGTTAGGATTTACTGTTGCAGTAGCAAATAATTTTAAATCAAGAAGATCTTGCATAAGCTTTACTGATGAAAAAAAGTTATCGAAATATATTCGATGATTTTTATTTATAACCTGGGCAGTCAAACTTTTGACAACTCTGGCTCCTAAATTCTTCTCTGTCTCATTTCCAACCTTTCCAGTATATATCCCAAAGTTCCAACAATACCCGGTTTTGTCGGCAAGAACCCATACTTTGTAACCTCTTTTGATAGGCTTTTTGGGTAAATATTGTTTTAGGGAGGAGCGACCTTTAAATTTAATCATAGCTTCATCTACAGCAAGATGTTCATGTGGTTGTAAGCATGATTGAAAATTCTCTAATAAAAATTGCAATAACGGCCGCACTTTATAAAGTTTGTCGTAACGGTCTGAGCCGCGTTCTGGTATTGTGCTGTTATCATTTAGATGGATGTGAGTGAGAAGCCAACCAAATCTATGTAATAATAATAATAATAATAAATGGCCTTTATTCGTCACACGATTACAAAATAATTGGTTTAAAAGGAACAGTGACGAAAAGGTGGAGTGTCAGCTTATGCTGTTTTTCAACCCGACCTGGAAAACATTGACACAAACTATAGAGAGAGAGAGAGAAAAAAAAAACTTAGAATATAACACTTATCAGAGAAAGGAAACAATCAATTACCTGTGGATATGCATAAAGTAAAATTTTAGCCATCCGACTGCTTTAAACTCATCTTTAACCTTTTTTTAAAATTGCTTAGGCTATATTCTTTATACTCACTTGATAAGCAGTTATATAGTTTGGGTGCCCAGAACGAGAAACTGCGTGTGAACAATGCTGTCGAATGCCGCGGGATAAGTAAGATGAGTTTATTCCTAGAGGATCTTTGATCGTACTGGCAGAGGAGGCTTAGTTTTGTATAAAGATAATATGGCGCTTTAAGGATAAGGGTCTTATGTACCAGAGATAGGCAATGCAGTTTCCTCAATTTGTTCATCTTAAACCATCCCGATTGGTCAAAAGCGCTACTAATATGATCAAATTTACGGATTCCATAAGAAAATCTGATGCATGAGTTTTGTATCATCTGAATCCGCTCGGCATCACGTTGTAAAAGAGCAGGTCCATAAACAGAGTCACCGTAAGATAATTTTGACAGGATAAGGGACTCGCAGAGTTTAAGCTTGAGCTGTGTCGACAGGACACTTCGACTCAGATATAACTGACGAAGCACATTATAGGACGCATTGCATAGTTGGTTAACATGTTTAGTGAAGCGTAGCTTGAAGTCAAACCAGATACCAAGGTTTTTGCATTCGTTTACGAAGGATATGTCTTCATTATTCACCATAATATTAATGCGATATTGATTTATTTCACGATTCTTTTTGGGCCCAAATAAAATGCAGCATGATTTGCCAGGATTTAGTTTTAGATTGTGAGCACTAGATATGTCAAAAATAGACTGCAGGTTTTGATTTATTTGATGTTGGCCAAGCATATATTCATCAGGATCGAAGCAGTTATAAAGTTGGGTATCATCGGCGTAATGATGAACGATTGAGTTGCTGGCGGTTTCATGAAAATCACATATATAAAGAGCAAATAAAAGGGGACTCAAAATAGATCCTTGAGGGACACCAAAATTCCTGAATAAAGAAGTTGATATATTGTTTTCATATATGACAGACTGTGAGCGATCAGTTAAAAAGCTCTTAATCAGCGTGCAAGCCGATGATGACAGGCCAAAGTATCTAAGCTTTTTACAGAGAATATTTGGGTCAACCGTATCGAAGGCCTTGCTAAAATCAAGAAGAACTAAGCAGGACAGCTTTCCTTGATCAACCGCGCTATAAATATTATCCGATATAGACAGGAGCGCAGTGGTGGTGCTATGTAATGGTCTGAAGCCAGATTGGGAGGTGGTCAGTAAATTATTTTGACAAACAAATGTGTGCAGCTGCTCATGTAGAGCCATTTCCAAAAGCTTAGATAAACTTGGTAAAATGCTTGTAGGACGAAGATCAGAAAAACTTGAAGGATAATTAGATTTAGGCAGAGGGAGAACAAGAGCATTCTTCCAGGAAGAGGGATAAAGATTATTTGTTATACAAAAGTTAATAATGAAGGTAATATACTTGAGCAAATGCTTATGTATTATACGGATCATATCAATTGTGATGCCATCTGAGCCTTTAGCATGACTTTTGATGCGATCAATAAATTTCTCTACAGTGGCAGGGGAAACTGTCGTGAACAGAAAAGTACCACTATTCTTGACGTTTTCATATTTGTCTAAAAGGTTCAATTGAGTTAATGATTTGGTTGTTTGAGGTACGTTTAAAAAAGCACTATTTAATGAATCGAGATCCTGAAGATGTGGAGGTAGACTTATGGAGTTATGTTTAACGATATTCAAAGATCTAAGTATATTCCATGTAGTCTTCGAATTTTTATGTCTCATAACATAATCGAGGTAGGCTTTTTTCTCTCGCCTAATAGCACTAGAAACATAATTTCTGATTTTCTTATAGAATTCCCAGGCAGCAATCGTTCCTGTACGTTTAAATTTTTTATATGCGTCACTTTTTGTTCGCATCATGAGTTTTATGTTGAATGTTCGCCAAGGAGCTGGTGGCTTGGTAACTCGAATGTTTCTGACAGGAGCATGCAAGTTGAAGGTGCACAAGATATTAGAGCTCAGGAAGTCAATCATTTGATCCACATCTCTCAACGTATATGTTACAGGCAAAGCCCGAAGCGCGGGCAATCCGAGGAATGACTAGTCATTTCGCGAAGTGGCCAGAATATTCGGTCAAAGTCCGAAATACTCTTGAGTTCCGGACATTAACTGCGGCTCTTTTAGTCAATCCTAGGAGTGACTGACCCACCTCGTCAAAGTCCGAAACGAAGAAACGCTCATCGGACTCTGACTAGGCGATCCTAGATGTGGCGAAAATCGGACTTGGACTAAATAATGTTAATTAAATAATAAACATTTATTAACAAAATATACTTCTCATATAGGCACACAAAATAAAAACTCTGTTGAGCGAAACATTTCAAAATGAAATGAAATACCTATCTTAAAATGTTGGATATTATTTTTAATCATTAATAAACTAAAATGTATTTTTTTAATATTAACATAAAAAAAGAAAATTGGCTGAGTTCAACAACGATACAATAGTGCAATAAAATATTAGCAGGTATATAGGTACCTACCTATACCTAAGTAAACTGAGCACACATTTATTTGTTTTGGCAATAGTTAGATTTATGGCACTTAGAATTGCATAAAACTTTTGACCTTTTACATTTACACAAATTAGAAATGCATCGTTTACTGCAATCGCATTTAAGAAAACCCTGACCGCCAAATTTGGAATCTTTGCCACTAATTTCTCTTAAAGATAATTTAACATTAGGCACTTCATGAAGACTAAGCAAACGTTCCTTACATTCTTGAATTTGATTTCTGGAAAACAACGTATTAATCGTTCCATGTCTAGTACCTACTTTATAGAACCCGTCCTCAGTTTTCTCTGTTACAACACAAAGCAAATTTCGAGCATCACCTTTAGCCCTATCAACAGAAGGAATTGGTACCGTAACAGTGTTTCCCACTTCAACCGCAGGAAACTTTTGATTTGACAATTTTTTCATAGTATCCGCTTGAGCTTGAAGACCATCAATTGCCTTTTCTTTATTTGCAGACATACATTCTTTTTGCGCACACCTCGGACACGTTACTTTACTTCCAAAACCCTCTTCAGTTTCTAAAGTATTGTCTGCGCAAATCGCGTGGATAATTTGTCCACAGATGCAACAGGTATGTGCACCAGAACTTTCCTCTTGACAAACGCAGCATACATTCGTACCTGTGTGAAAGTCTTTATTAAAATTAGACGAGAAATAGGTTGTCAGGGGAAATGGAAGGTAACTTTACGCAATTCAATAATTATGTGCAGAAGATGTCACTGTTACTGCATCAATTCTTACTCCAATTTCCAATTTCCCCTATTTATGCTAATTTCAGTGTACTAATACCTACCGGTAGGTTCAGAATCTTGTTCCATTAGAACGCCTTCATTTCCTTGAAGCGTCGTTTCTAAAATAGCCCCGTCGCCGTCAGATGGGATCAGGGCATTTTCAAGATCTTCCTCAGTTCGAAGAAGCTTCTTTATTGTATCCGGGAGGGTCTGAATCCCAACATGAGCTTTTCTCCCTGCAACAAGTTAAAAATATGATTTCTTTTCTCATTCCCATAGCCCTTATTTTACATACCAAACATGACTTCAAATGGAGTTTGTTTGATTCCTGTGTGAAAAGCGTTATTTTTCTGAAGTTGGCAGAATTTCAGGCCTTCACTCCATCTGTTGGTCTTGTTGTCTTCCATCCATGCAAACAAAATTTTCTGGACTTCTTGGTTAGCCCTTTCGACGCTACCTTGACTCTCCGAATGGCGGGGTTTTCCATGTACAATAGTCAGTTGAGGCCATAAGGTTTTTAATTCTTCAATTATTCGGTTGGCGAATTCTCGGCCATTATCTGACTGAAGCACAGACGGGGCGCCGAAGGCACAAAAAATGTCTAACAGATTGTAGGCAACTTCTTCTGCGGTCTTGGTTTTTAAGGGACGCAAAATTACGAATTTACTTAAGTGATCCTGATAGTTCATTATAAATTTGAAGTCACCGTCACGGCACGTTTGCATGTCGATCAGATCAACTTGTGCCCGCGCTTGTATTTCCTTAAAAAGCAATGGTTTTACAACCAAACCCCGTTTGGGATGTTTTTTCTTCTTTTGACACGTTTTACATAGGTCTAAATAGATCGAGATACACTCTTTCGTAACATTTGCGTATTTATTTTTCAGCACCTTTATCGTTTGATCCCTACCGCCATGACCACATTCACGGTGAGCTGTGTGTATTACGTCGAACAGTTCCTTGTCTGTGATGTAGAATTTAACGTTTGGGTCGTCTAACACGGGTGTGATCAATTTCTTCACATTTCCAACGTGCCAAATATCATACCTTCTTAATCGTCGGTATTGCAGTGACGTTTTCGTCTTAGCGGCCTTAGCAGTTTCCACTTCAGCAATCAACTCGTCATATTTCTCTTGCGTTTCGATATGGAACGAACCCGACGATCTCTGTACACTACGCACTCTTTCCATAAATTTCACCTTCACTTCATCGAAGTTGTCTTCCTCAACGGTCCCGACAGTTGTCTCACTCATTTTAAATGCAACACAGAAATAAGGTTAGGAACATGTCATCTATAGCAGTGCTTGTGCTCAACTGAATGCGCAACAGTCAGAGTCCGATCTTCGCCCCATCTAGGATTGCCTAGTCAAAGTCCGGAGAGCGTTTCTTCGTTTCGGACTTTGACGAGGTGGGTCAGTCACTCCTAGGATTGACTAAAAGAGCCGCAGTTAATGTCCGGAACTCAAGAGTATTTCGGACTTTGACCGAATATTCTGGCCACTTCGCGAAATGACTAGTCATTCCTAGGATTGCCCGCGCTTCGGGCTTTGCCTGTAACATATATATAAAATCCCAGTTTATTAAAAGTAAATCATGGTAGAAATTGTCTAGGCTAAAGGTAGAGTAATCACGATATGTCCTCAGTTTACATAGGTTGCTTATCTCCGATGCATCTACATAAAATATTAGGGCTAGATGGTCAGATATTCCATCTACGTCAACAACTTCATAACCACTTATTATATCAGCAGAGCTAACCATGAGCAAGTCTATAGCTGTCTGGCTATTGGAAGTTATACGTGTGGGCTCTTTGACTAACTGAGACAGATCAAAAGACTCAAGAAAACAGTTCAGCATCTCGGATCGGCCGTCGTTCACTAAAACATTAATATTAAAGTCGCCCATGACAACTGCGTAATCATTATCGAGTGAAAGGTTGGTTAAAGACTCAGTTAATTGATGAAAACAGTCAAGCACGTTTGCCGATGGTGGACGGTAGACTATAGCTAGACAATATTTGCGTTGATTAACTTTTACAGAGATCCAAAGTTCTTCCAATACTGCGGTGATATTAGAGTGCAATATTTTGAAGGCAATACCATTTCTCACATAAAACGCGACGCCCCCGCCTCTGCTATTTCGATCTGCTCTAACGACATTGAAGTCGTTGATAAATACTGAGGAGGAATCAATATCTGGGGTTAGCCAAGTCTCACTGAGACCCAGGACATCGACAGCACAGTCAACAACATACTCCTTCAAAGTTAGAAAACCAGACTGAATTGACCTTACGTTGAAGCTCATGAATTTTAGACGTCTAGACATATTGAAAACATCTGGCGAAGGCTTATTCTTAAAGAGCACCCAACGTATTTTGCCAGTAAAATGAGTATAACCACATGATAAATATATTAGATCTATACAGAATAAAAACAACGCAACAATTATATGCAATACTAATAAAAACACCCGGATATACAGAACAGAATAATAAATCAATAAAACTAGGTATAGGAAGGCGATGAGATGAGAATAGTACCATAAAAACTTATTTGTTTAGATTTAACAGTCACACACTTGTAATAAGGACAAAATTGAGATCAACGGTTAATGCTTACATTTGGCAATGGATGAAAAGTAAATAAATACCATATATTCTATAAGTAGTATAAATAATCGGTACATGCTGAAAGTGTCAAAAATATACCAAAATGACAAAATTGAAACATTCAAAAGATTGGGCTATCAATGAGCTGAAGAACAACCGGTATTAGTAAAATATACTCGTGATGGATAAAAATAATATTTCTTTATTTACAATGTACTGTCATTAATTTGCTTATATATGGATCGTGAAGGTCAGCAGATGTACTCCAGTGGTCTCTGTAACTTGGATATTTCTTTATGCCGAAAAGAAGGTTTATACCTAGAAATGTTTTGATTTCTGTGATATCTGTTTTATTGTAGGGTTTTCCTGTATCTTGATATCGCTGCTCTGCATAAAGATTTGTTTGAAAAACAATGTGATTTAAAATATCGTCAGTGAAAAGCAAATTGAACGCTTCATAAGGATTGAGTGTTTCACGATCTTGAATGGAACGAGGTAGGCCAGAATCACTTACAAAATCTGCAGGCAGTTTCATATTACTTGTAAGATTACTCCATGAAACTGGTCTTTGATTTTTACATTTTTGAGCCAATGTCGCTAATGGCACTAGATCATCAGAGTCCCATTCATCAGGCGATTCGATATCCGAACCAGAAACTATAATTTCATCACCAGAGTTATTTTCTAACACATCTACATGCATATCTTCTTGCAAATCTCCCGTCTCTTCTTCAGCGTCACTGTCATTATCAGAACCACCATCAGAAGGAATTGAAGCAAAATCATCACCTATATGAGCAATTTCGTCATAAAGTTCGTCCTCAGTCATATCAACTAATTTGAAGGTAAGAGGTTCTTGGCGATTCATTTTACTCATGGTACGGTGGTACAATTTATGAACACTAGAAAATAAACCAAAATGACAATATATAAGAAGCATTTATATTCAAAAACTATATTGCCCTACCTAAAATGGTTTCTGCTGAATACGTCTCACTTGATTTTTGCAAAGAAAAACCAGTAAAAATAGCTAATTTATACTTGTCAGGGCGGCTACTAACGACACGTGGTGCAAGAACTCACATTGATTGTAACAGACTCTAACCTCAATGCCAAATATGAAAAACAATCGTGTCAGCTGATTCTTTATACTCCTATTAGACGCCTCCATTAGCGGTACGGGGTTTAAACCGGTGTCCCTATTCAATAAATAATTTTGTTTAGGTGGTATATATATTGCTCCACAGTACCTTCAAGGTCTAGAAAAAAGTGGTTTAATATGTCATCCACCGTACTTAAAAGAGTTAAATAATTTATTGCAGCTTGATTAGTTGTTCCTTGGTCACATATTGTGCAGATAACTTTTAGCCCTGCTTGCTGACAAGTATTTATTATTTTCTTCAATAACCTTACTAATATCACACGTTTTGTAGAGGATCTACAAAATGTGTAAGCTAGAGGTTGCTTCCAATTTTTAATAAGTCCTCTAACCAAAAAAACTAATGCATGATCTGCAATAACTGCATTTATTCTTTCATCATCATTAGTTTCAAAGCCCTCAAATTCTTTGGTTACAACATTTAAATGTATATGGGAGTCCAGACTCATTTCATCAAACGTTACAGCACAATACTAGCTGCTTTCATCTAAGCCATAAACAACTTCTGCAAGATTATCAAAAATCACATCATATACACCTGGATTGATGGGAATCTGGTTTAATAGCTGCATTATTGTTTTTTTTTAAGGTAAAGCAAACGTTTTTGATAATGCTCGATATCCCCTACCACTTTGTTTGTGAAGCATAAACCCCATCAATTTGTCTTCTAAGCTATATCTGCGTCCCTGTGATTTCCTACCAGCCAGTGTGATCTGGCTTTTGATGGATGTAGCTACAGAGCTGCCCAATTGCTGCAATGCCTCATTTACCACTTCTGCTGTACTTCTGGTACTTCTAATCAACCTTCTTCTACATCTTAGTCTTCTGTTAGCTCTAGAGAGGCTATCTTATATAGCTTCTTAGCTTTTGGACTTAAATGGGTTTCTCTGGTTACATGTAGTACCGGTGAAATGGGGTGAATAGAAACAGTTTCGGACCTTTCCTACTCTGTTGCTAACATGGTAGTCACCTTTTTGACAACAAAAAATAAGGAATCTACAGGTCTCGACTTGTAGATCAAAAAGCGCATAATAGATTTTTTTTAAATAGGGGGTTTTCCAAATAAAAAATAAAAACGCTCTTTTTCTATTCACCCTTAATGTGGGGTGAATAGAAACACCCATTTAAATTGGTCAAATTTGCTATTCTACCCACACGAAGGCGAATAGAAAAACCTGAAAAAATGTTTAAATTGATAAAAAAATATAAATACACAAAAAAAAACTGACAAAAACACCAATTTTACAAAAAAAAACATTTATTTCTATAGAAATGTAACAAGTTTAAACATATTATTTAAATTAAACAACTTTGATGCAAATTAAATTTTAAAATGTCTCTTCTTGACGTAGATGCTTCTATCTCGTCATGAACTGGGAAAACCTCTCCAACAACCTGGCTAAAATGAAAGGTGGAAACATCCGGAACTTCTGGAAATCCATAAATATATCCTGACGAGTGTTTGGTGGGGCGACTTCTTAAGAAAGTGGCTTCAATGTCATTTTCTGTAATATTAATGACTTGTCCGATAAAATATTTATTTCTTTGTCTATTTCGATATTTTGTTGGAAAACACACCAGAAGCCAAGTTCCTTTATCTATTAAATCAAGCGAAATAGGAGAAACACATCGAAACAATTTACCCTCAAAGCAGACTGATGCTGACGAATTATTTGTATCCAACTTATTCTCGGACTTATCGGTGAAACTTGGTAGTGAAGTGTCCATTTCTGAGTCTGCATCTGAAGAATGATCTTGATCTTTTTCCATGTCAGAGTCTTCACTTGAAGAATGATCTTCAGCTTTTGCCATTATTGGCATGAAATTAATAAGGGGCAAATTCATTTCCGGGTCTGAATCTTCATCTAAGGTTTCCATACTTCTTTCCAAATCAGTATCCTCTTGATCGTCTTTATCCAACGTGCTTTCAAAATCTGCACTTGTAACGCTTTTGCCAGCAGGAACTTGAATTTTACGACGTCGACTCTTCACATTTTGACCATCGCCATATCTCATTGTTCTTAGAAGGTTTACCAAAGAGTTATTAAGTCCTTCTTCAATGTTCTGATTCTCATCATTTGTCTCGTCAAGATTTTGCTGCGGAAGGCGTCCCAAGACTTGATCCCTATTTAGTGGAAAAATTCCACACTTTCTAAAGCCAGATTGTATATTTTTTCCAGCATTAGGCTCAATAGCCTTTGACAAGTCATTTAGCAAGAAAGGGAATCTGTCCTTTGGAACCGTGCAATGCTTTGAACCAGCCCCCATTTTCCATTTTTCAAGGATCTGTCGCCAGGCTGTTTTAAGAGGCCGGAAAAATGCCACGTCCAGAGGCTGGGTCAGATGAGTAGAGTTAGCCGGGAGGAATATAAATGAAATATTATTTTCTTCGCTAAGAGATACCGTACTTGCAGAAAAATGTGAACTCAGATTATCGCCAATTAAGTACTTCTTTCCCGGTAGATTTTTTACTGCAGGTATGACAGTGCTCTCTACCCAATCTGAGAAGGAAATCGCATCAAACCAACCTGATGGACTTCTATTAAATCTGACGTCCTTTGGTCCTCCAACTGTCCAAGATGTATACAAATTTTTAGCTTTGTAAACCACGTATGGTGGGAAAAATTTTCCATCAGCTGAAGCAGCGTACATAATAGAAACGGCTGACTTCGACGTATTGCAAATACGTTCTGGATAGCGACAGCCCCTTTTCGAGATTACTTTCTTTCTACCCGGATCGTCAGTTAAATTTGTTTCGTCGTAATTTAGGGGAGACCGGGGACAATTGTACCATTTTGCCTATATTGTTCGCATGTTCTCAAATTATAATGTCTACCAGTCAGCAAGGTATGGCTGAAAGTAACGTAACTAATAGTCTACAAAATGCGGTTTTTGTAATGCATGAAACATAATACGTTTAGAAGTTATTTAACATTTAAAAAATAATGTAAAATGGTACAATTGACCCAGCCCCTGGGTCAATTGTACCAGCTAAGGGGGTCAATTGTAACATCAATATTTAATATAGTTATTTGATCAATAAACTAGTTTTATTGATCAAATTTAAACATTACCGCAGTAACCAACTCGGCAAATATATAATTTGTACAAATACTTTGGCATAAAACATGAGCATTCGTATTGTCACAAATAAATGAGCAAATACACAAGAAAAATCTTTAAAAAACAAATATTTAACTTAAAACAATATTTTGGATTTTGTAATTCACAAATACCTATATCTAATAATAAAGGGATGTCGGCAAACAAAAACTTGAACTCTTTATTCAAGCTAAGAACAATAAAAGCTTAAAAACGGTAAACGCAAAATAAAAAAATATGAAAATCAATCTTGTTTCTTTAAGAGATACCCAACTCAGACAATTACTCTGACTCACAATTGTGACAAACATAGAACAAGTTTTGTCCTACACACTCTTCGTGTGACCACATCTTGCACTGTGTGCACTGGATCCATTTCTCGCCCTTTCTGCTATTCCCATAAGGTTCGACGCAAACTAGGCAAAAATATTCATTTTCGTCTTCACTGCTTTCTGCCGATCCAGTTTTTTTCTTTCTAGGAACTTTATTATTTGGTCTATTTCCCTGACTGCCTAAGTTTCTTTTTACTCGCTTTTTTTCTCTTTCCTCAACTTCTTTCTCTATTTCTATTTTCTCTGGGGTGTCTGTATAAATTGCGGACTTTCTTTTTTTCCTTCCTTTCATTGTACCTTTTCTTGGTGGAGCTTTGGAAAATGGTCTAACGTTTTCTGGGGAAAATACAACTTTTACGAATTCTGACGAAGTTGGAGTGGCTTCGTCATGAACTTGTAAAAGTTTTGCAGGTGTCCTGATAAGGATCGCATCTGCTCTTCCTTCCTTTAAACGAAACGCAGACAACGGAATATTTTCGTCACTATCTGAATCAATTAAACAGGGGATACCTGTATTGACACCTTCTAGCTCAGCAGGAGGCTTGCTGTTAGCTGTTTGCTCATTATTAACAGTCAGTTCTTGGTTTTCTGATGGCTGTAAGGGTCTATCAGTAACAAATGATGGACCAAAATCTGTTTCAGAAAATATATCTCTATTGAAGGGAAAAATACCTGTACATCTAAAACCAGCCTGAATGTTACTCTGTGTTAGTGCCAGAGGAATAGCTGTTGCAGTGATCCCTGGGATATCATATATCGTCATAAGTTTCCCTGGATGATTTCGAATCCACGCATCACAACTAGAATTTATAGCTTTCTTGAGTGGCCCATATACACAGCGGTCTAGGGGCTGCAATTTATGTGAGCAATGTGGAGGGAACGAAAGCATGACGATACCATTCGTTCTACAGAAATCCAATGCTTCGATGGTGATGTGCGATGAATGGTTGTCTAGTAGTAGCAAAACTTTATGGAATTGAGATGAATTGGTATGATGTTGAAAATGCTTCAAAAATACTATGAATTCTTTTTCTTGCATCCATCCAGACCCATTACCGGCTCCAACGCAACCTTGAGGACCATCCCGAACAAAATGATCTTGATATCTTAATCTTGGGAAAACAAACATAACTGAGATAGAGTTCCCTAGCGCATTAACGGCAACAGTCAGCGTAACCAGAGTGCCACGTTCTGCCGATGTGATAGCACCAACTTGCTTAGTTCCAGTTTTAGCTACAATTCTGTTTGGCTTCTGGACTGTAGTAATCCCGGTCTCATCGGCGTTATAAATATCTTTCACTTCAAACTTTTCACGGTCCATAACTTTGGCCAGATTATAGAAGAAAGCGGCAACATTGGTAGGATTAAAGCTAGTAGCCCTTGAGAGACTTGTTGCCTGTGGTGTTCTTATAGATAAATCTTTATGCCTGCACATGAAACCAGAAAACCAGTCTTCACCGGCTAAGCCACTTTCAGTCCATTTTTCGGGCATTTTTAAATTATATTTTGTCGCTAATTGCAGTGCCAATTTTCTTATATCCTTGGGCGACAAACCTTGATAAATATCTGCTGCTTTCTTGATATATTTAACCATTTCGTTTTCTTGTTCATTTGAAAAAACACGATTAGCGGGCTTGTATCCCATACTAACTTTTGTAATGCAATCGACTGAGTTTTCTCTTTTCTTCTTATAACGTAATAGGGACACATGGCACAGACCAAATTGGGCTGCAGCTGCTCGAATTGACGTTCCAGACAGTACCACATCATATGCAGATTCATATAAAGATAGATCACGTGAGGCTCTTTCCGTTTTATTAATCCTTTTCCGTTTGACCAAACTTCATTTAAAGTGTATATTATACATATAATATCACACGTTTTGTAGAGGATCTACAAAATGTGTAAGCTAGAGGTTGCTTCCAATTTTTAACAAGTCCTCTAACCAAAAAAACTAATGCGTGATCTGCAATAACTGCATTTCTTCTTTCATCATCATTAGTTTCAAAGCCCTCAAATTCTTTGGTTGCAACATCTAAATGTATATGGGTGTCCAGACTCATTTCATCACACGTTACAGCACAATACTTGCTGCTTTCATCTAAGCTAGAAACAACTTCTGCAAGATTATTAAAAATCACATCATATACACCTGGATTGATGGGAATCTGGTTTAATAGCTGCATTATTGTTTTTTTTTAAGGTAAAGCAAACGTTTTTGATAATGCTCGATATCCCCTACCACTTTGTTTGTGAAGCATAAACCATCAATTTGTCTTCTAAGCTATATCTGCGACCCTGTGATTTCCTACCAGCCAGTGTGATCTGGCTTTTGATAGATGTAGCTACAGTGCTGCCCAATTGCTGCAATGCCTCATTTATCACTTCTGTTGTACTTCTGGTACTTCTAATCAACCTTCTTCTACAACTTAGTCTTCTGTTAGCTCTAGAGAGCTGACTGGCTATCTTATATAGCTTCTTAGCTTTTGGACTTAAGCGGGTTTCTCTGGTTACATGTACCTTATGCAATAATCCAGAATCTGTTCTTAAGTAACCTTGAAATAAAGAATGAAATTGATATTATATTACATATATGTTAAGAATCCATTACAACTGTATTTTTACAAGACAATAAATTCAATAAATATTTGTAAATAAATGCAAGTGATTGATAGTCAAAGTTGACCAAACTTCATTTAAAGTTTATATTATGCTGATGTGATTTGAAATTGAAATTATTATTATTAATAGGTATTATTATGTATGTAAACCAATTTTCTTTTCAAACTTTCACAATTTTGAAGAACTTCTATTAAGAATAGCTTTTTTTGGAAAACTGTGTTTTCCTTGGTATACTAGGCTAAGAGATTCATGCAAAATTACTTTACTCACTTGCTTCTGAATAATGCTCCTCAATGGGTTCTACTGTAGTTACATCAAGATTTTCTGGTTGTGCAGTGGTAACTGAGCAAACTTCTCCGAACTGTTGTGATGATGCTGAAGTTGAATACCCCTGGGCCGACCTGGAAGTTCGGATTTGAACTATGACCTGGACCTCACAGCGAGGGTTGATCTCGGCAGGCTCCTTTTCTTGACGCGCAGCATCGACACCGTCAACGTTGAGGGGGCGCAGGCGAACCTCACGTTGACGTCGTGTCGACTTCTGGTTTCTGGACATCATCTTCGTGGAGCTCAGCTGACAGAGATCAAAATCTCTCGATCCACCCTTATGTGAGTGTAACCTCTTTCTTTCAGTGAGTGTGGTTGTGGGGGCTAAAACTGCCTTTTCTTTCTCTTTTTTCAAACAACGGACTACCCCACAACTTACTTTAGGTTTGTTTCGCGGAAGCGCGTGGTGGACATTTCCTCCAACGATCGGTTCTCGACTTTTATGGACGGCTTCTTTCTTGGGGGTCCCGCGCTGGGGGCTTTGACCTATGCATTAAGGTTGTTGACCCTTCGCTCTCTCCACGTCGACTGGAGTCAATCAGTCAGTTTACTGTTTGTCTTCGTCTCCTGAGGTTAGCCTCGAGTCCGTGCTTGACTCTGGCCACCTCAATCGACAGGCTTCTTTTTGTCCACCCGTTGTACACGGGCTGTTCTTTCCCCTCTTGGGCCTCATCAGCTGCTAGAGTAAATTGTCTTCTTGTTGCAGCTGACCTTGTCGGCTTATTGTTCTTGGGTCGTAATCCAAGGCGTCCTTAATCAGCTGATTTCGATGTCGGTCGTTCTTTTCAAACAACTTTCGGGCCCTCTCTCTCATCTGGATTACGACCGGTACCTGTCGGAGTTCGTCATATAGCAGTCTGTTACGGACGCACCACGGTGCCTCACGGAGTGCTATGTTTTGTTGAGCTTGGAGCCTCTTCTTTCCCTTTTTGGCAACGTAGCCCCAAGCTACTGCTGCATATGTCATGATTTGGAGCAGTACCATCTGAATCATGATGGTTTTATTCTTTAACCCTTTCAGGACCGACGCGTCCACGAAAAAACATGCCTGCTGGACCAGAATTTTTGGATGGTCATATGACCCGGTGACGGCTATATCCGACGAAATCATAAAACAGTATAATTCTTTTTTTATTCTATTAAAGCATACTTAGAAACACAAACAGCAGTAAATAGAACTAAAGAAGGTCAATCAAAACTAAAATTGAAGCCCTAGAACTAATACCTAAAGACAAGAAAACAAAAATAAGAGCACATCGTATCAAAAAAACTCGAAAGACATTTTACTTCAGAAGTGATTTTCTTCATGATATATTTTGAAGCATGGAGCTGGACACAACCCAACATCGCATTCCTTACACATATATTTGGTTTCTTTTTTTTTCTTAGGTTTTTGTTTGCTGTGGGAACATACATAGCATCTCCTGTAGGCCGATTTGCTGCCTTCCTTGACTGTAACCAGATCGGGAAAATGTCTTTGTGTGAGTCTTTTATTTCCAAGATCCACGTGAACAGATCTCGAAGCTGTTTTTTGAAACCTGCAAAAATCGAAATATAGAACTATTTTTTAGACAAAAAGAAATATATATATATATATATATATATATATATATATATATATATATATATAGAGGAGAGGAACCAAATTTGAGATACTTTTTTTTGTGAAGGGAAAATAAAATACTTTTTGTTTTAAACAAGGTTATATATTTAAATAAACTTGCGATTTTATGCTCCTAGCATACTCTAAACTAAAAAAAATAACTATAAATGTTTTCTTTTACAGGCGAAAAGTGTATTTAAATAAAAGTAAACATTTTTGTAGATTTACAGCTGGTTCCCTAATTTGAGATAGATAGTTATCCAAATTTGAGATAGGTACCCTTATTTAAGATACTATTCGAAAAACCCCTTCCCTTCACAGAAAGTGCAAATGAAAATTTTATTGGCAATCTCTCCACAATCTTCATGTGCCCATCTACTACAATGGCTGCATTTGGCCCATTTTTCGCCCTTCTTATCTTCAGAAAATCGACCCGTACAAAATAAGCATTCAGCATCGCTTCCACCGCTTTCGTCTGAGGATAAATCATCCAACTTAAGGCTTCCGCTAGATTCTGAACTTGAACTGGAGTGGGAAGGTATCCGAATCCTTTTGGACCTTTTAGCACTAGATGTAGAAGGCTGGTTCTGGTTGATTGACCTATTAGCTCCAGATGTGGAGGGTTGATTTTGTGTGGATATGCTATTTTGGTTTAAATTAGCATCCAATTTTTTTTTGGGAATTGCTTTCATCTGTCTTTTCTCTAAGCTTGCCTGCAACTCTTTCTTATATGGCGTGTGAGTAATGACTACTGCCTTTCCTGATCTTCTGCTCACTGTATTTTGTTTTTTATATGAGGGCAAAGGACAAATATCGGTTGGAGAGACTAATTTAAATTGTATTTGTTGTTCTAAATTCGGGCTAGGTGTTCGTTGTTGCACTCTAAATTCTACAGTGTCTACGAAATTAGTGATGCTTGCAATTTCGTTTGCGATAGAAGTACTTGCATCTTGATTCACTAGATTATCACCTGTGAAATCAGCAGAAGTAGCCGCATTCTCATGTATTTGCTGTGCTGTATCATCACCTTGATGGTCTACTTCACAGGGATCTACGGTGTCAATCCGATCTTCCACCCGATGAACGCTAAAATCGGAATCTCTAAAAATATTTCTGTTGATAGGCACCAGTCCTGTTTTCCGAAATCCATTACAAGAGGTTTCCATTGTAGCAGCTCGATTGTAAGCTTTGCAAAAAATGCTAGAAATTGCATATGGGGAAACAGTACTTAGCTGATTCTCTCGAAGCCAATTCTCTATTTCCTGTGCATAGAAAGTCTTTAATGGTGACATAAACGAGACATCTAATGGTTGCATCTTGTTTGTTGAGTGTGGTGGAAGACATATTATTGCCACATGATTTTGTTTTGCTAAATCTATCAGGTCAATGTTCCTTGTGTGAGAATAATGACCATCTAATACTAAAAGAACTGGATCAGAAGCAGTAGGCTTTGTAAATTTTATAAAGTGATCTAACCATCGGGTAAAAATATCTGCCTGTACCCAACCTGATATATGGCATTCCGCAATTGCTCCATTTGGGGCTCCTAACATTAGCTCTGTTTTCATATTTTTTCTGGGGAAGATTAACAGTGGTGGTACATACACGCCTGAAGCGTTCATACAAGTAATTACTGTGACCAATTTACCCCTCTCTGCTGAAGTAAGTGATGCAATCTGCTTCTTTCCTCTAAGAGAGAGAACCTTAGTGTGCTTATGTTGAACCACAGTAATACCCGTTTCGTCTACATTGAATATCCTGTGAAAAGGATTTAGAATTTTGTTATATTCGGCCTCATATAGGTCAAAAAAGCTTGAGACTTTCTCAGGGGTGAAAGACTTTATACGAGCAGCTGACATGCCTTGTGGCGTTCTCATGGATAGCTGAGGATGTCTTTTTAGAAATAGTCGTAGCCATTTCTTTCCTGCTGATTTTTTAAGTCCATTAAAAGGATGAGATATGCTATTTCGTAACGCAAGCTGGAATGCCAAACGCTTTATATCACGCGCACGTAAGCCAAAAAATCGCTCTTCCATAGCTAATGCATATTGTACTAACTGATTTTCAAGTTCAGGGGAAAGAATAGTCTTGCGACCAATTGGTGTGTCTACAAGTTCTCTTGGATCCTTACCGGATCTAACATATCTTTCTACGGTCCCTTTAGGTACTCCAAAAACTTTTGCGGCTTTCAAATAACCCATCTCCTTATTCTTTACAGCTTCGATGGCCTTTATCATGTCATTTGGGTTCCACTTTTTGTGTTTCGGTGGCATCTGCAATATAAAAAAAATAAAAGATAATCTCTTGATACAGGGCCCTTATTTGAGATAGTCTCAAATTAGGAACACTTGGGTATCTCAAATTAGGAATTTTCCGTTAAGAAGTTCAAACAAGCATATTTAGGTTATGTAATAAAATAAAATCACAATATTGAAAAAGAAAATAAATAAGGTATTTGTAAGCTACTAAATTTATATCAGACAAGTGTTCTAAGTATCTTACCTCACTTTTAGTAATCACTTTTCTCGCACTATTAAAAATATTTTCGACTCTGAACAAGCAACAAGTTGTGATGTCTCAGCAAACCATGTGCAAAACTAGACTGTAAACACATCTAGAATACTACTGCGTCTTAGTTCAACACTTTTTGGTATTACTAGAAGATGGCGCTACATAGATTCAAAGTTACACCACTGTCTCAAATTAGGCGCCTGTCTCAAATTTGGTTCCTCTCCTCTATATATATATATATATATATAGGTACCTTTCCAACAACTGCCTAATCACTGCAAGTTGAAATGTGGCCAGTGGAACTTTTGCTGGATTCTGTGTCAAATACATGGCATGAGCATTCAATAAGCATATATCCATGGTATGAAAAAATAGTTTTTTATACCATTTCATGCTTTTGCGCGGTGAATCAATGCTGCTGATCATCATATCACTTCGGTCGACAGCTCCCATTTGCTTGTTATATTCCAAGACACATAATGGCTTCTGAAGGTTTTCATTTGTGACACTATCCTTCCTTGGAAGACTGACCATTTTATTCTCATGTAGTGTAGTCAGCATAGTGACATCTCGCCGATCTTTCCATTTAACCACCAACATGTTTTCACTGCTTCTCCAATCACATTCACCCCTCTTATGTTTTTTGTCTAAAATTGGCATTTCTTTCCTATTTTGTTTCACGGTCCCACATGAATTGGTTTTACTTTCAAATAGAAATGTTGACAAAGTTGGACTGGTATAAAAGTTGTCAGTAAAAAGAGAATGACCCTTGTTCATGTATGGTTGTAATAGATTACTGACAATTTCACCTGTAGCACCCAATCCACGAGTATCTTCTTGTGTGCGTTTGCCAACGTACACTATAAAATCCAAGACGATGCCAGTCTCACAATCACACAAGACATACAGTTTGATTCCGAACCTATGTCTTTTTGTTTTGATGTATTGACGAAAACTGAGGCGACCTTTGAAAAGGACCATACTTTCGTCAATAACCAAATGTTCGAAAGGATAAAACTGGGATTTGAAATTCTCTTTTAGAACGGTCAAAATATTTCCAAATTTCCCCAATCGATTATCATTATTAGCGAAATGAAGATAGCGATGTATCTCGC